GGAACAGAAAACGACACAAACAGGCTCCAAGACCTCGACGAAGCTGAGGAAAGGAGAGAAATGGCCCATATCAGAATGGTGGCCCAAAAGCAACAAGTCGAAAGATACTACAACAAGAGGGCCAAAATAAGACCACTCAAGGTGGGAGATTATGTCCTTAAAGCCAAGACATTGGCATCCAAAGACCCAAGTGAAGGGAAACTGGGCACTAACTGGCAAGGACCCTACAAAATCACAGCAGTAGCCAGCAAAGACGCATTCCAGTTGGAAACAATGGAAGGGAAAACGCTCCAAAACAACTGGAACGTTACTCACCTCAAGTATTTCCACTTCTGAAAGGCGTCTCCCGAGTCGTACTCTTTTTCCCTTACCCGAGTTTTGTCCCAATTGGGTTTTCTCGGGGAGGTTTTTAACGAGGCGGCGGAGGGGACACTTGGAGATATTTGCGAAACAAGTTTATCATATCAACCTCTCCTTACGACCTCCAGGCCGACATGATAAAGGGACTGGACTAGCTTGATCTCCAATGTATGAAAGGCTACGGCCATCTCCAATGTATGAAAGGCTACGGCCATCTCCAATGTATGAAAGGCTACGGCCATCTCCAAAGTATGAAATGCTACGGCCATCTCCAATGTATGAAAGGCTACGGCCATCTCCAATGTATGAAAGGCTACGGCCACCTCCAATGTATGAAAGGCTACGGCCATCTCCAATGTGTGAAAGGCTAAGGCCATCAACTATATTATGGCTAAGGCCATCGCCGCCAACGGTCGACCTAGATTCGACTACGGTGAGTAAACGACTCGACGACAGTCGAAGTCGCCTACATGGCTAAGGCCATCAACTATATTATGGCTAAGGCCATCGCCGCCAACGGTCGACCTAGATTCGACTACGGCGAGTAAACGACTCGACGACAGTCGAAGTCGCCTACATGGCTAAGGCCATCAATTATATTATGGCTAAGGCCATCGCCGCCAACGGTCGACCTAGATTCGACTACGGTGATTAAACGACTCGACGAGAGTTGAAGTCGCCTACATGGCTAAGGCTATCAATTATATTATGGCTAAGGCCATCGCCTCCAACGGTCGACCTAGATTCGACTACGGTGAGTAAATGACTCGACGACAGTCGAAGTTGTGCACACGGCTAAGACCATCAACAATATTAAGGCCGAAAATAAAAGGTACAAAAAGAAAAGAATAACAGCAAAAGTATGACTTCCATTATCATCCAAAAAATACATGTACAAAAGGACCTATTTACAGCTCCAAATACAGCAAAACAAAATGAATACAAGTCCTAAGGGGCTTCGCCATTCTGTTCACCGCCTCCCGTCGGACCGCCATCTCGTCCACCGCCGTCCTCGGCCTGATAGGCCGCAGAGATCCAAGAGCCGGATTCTAGACGGTTAACGTCTTCGGAGTTATAGCCCGCCCGGTCTGGGGAATCAGAACTATACCCACAAATTTCACGGGCGACACGGGCTATGCGCCGTTGCTCTTGAACCTCCGCCTCAGTAGCTCGACCCGCAGCTAAGAACTCCTCGAATACGACCAATCTAGCCTCGGCATATACCCACATGTCATGCGCCTCACGATGCGCATCCTCATCAGGCCTTGGTGCAGCAGTCCGCTTGAGGACTTCAATCTCAGCCGCCTTGGCGTCGAGCTCGGTGGTCATAGCGGCAACCTTGATCCGCAAATCAGCAGCTTCCGCCGCTACCCCACGGCCAACCTCCAACTCTTCTTCCTTAGACTGGAGAAGAGTCTCCAGCTCAATGTTCCGAGCCAGGGCGGTCATCAGCTGCTCGTCGATCTGCTCCAACTCGGCCACCCTCCGTTTCAGCTGGGCCTCCGACTGCTCCAAACCCTCACGAAAAACCCGAAATTCTGGGTCCTGCTTGAGTAGGTCCGCCAGCGCCTGATGCTTGACACGGCACCGCTGATATTTCTTTACCACCTTGTTAAAGGTGGCTGCCTTCCTTTGCGCTCACCGCCCCCTCTCTATCTCCAATATGAGAGTCTAAAAAAAAGGAAAGGAGGAAAGGCAAGTCAGTATGCATCAAAATTTACTTTACGGTACATGAAGAAAATCGAAAAATACCTGCAAGGCCGCGCCGGCAACCCTCCGGGATAGTTCCCCGTCGCTAACCCCTTGTAACGTTTCACGCTCAGCGGCCGCACATAGCAGGGTCATATCCGTTGCGGCCTGCTCGCTGTGTTGCAACAGGTTAAACCCTCCTGGGATCAGAATTCGGCAGTTGGATCTACCTGCCGTCATCCCCACACGGGCCGGACCCCGCGTTAACGCATCTGCATCCGCCTGGGCGGCCTTAGGGCCCACCCTCTCGGTATCATCACCCGCTTCTCCAACGGCAGCCGACGAGCCGCTCTCCGGAATGCGTGTTGGGCTGGCATCGAGAACCGCCCCCCCTTGGGGAGCCGACCTCCCGGAACGGATGGCATCTGCCATAAAAATTGGCCTTGACTCCCGATGGGGCTCGCTCGCCCCCTCGTCTTCTGTGGCTATCCCCTTGCCGGTTATCAACCGACGTCTTTTCCTTTCCGGCGGCTCCTTGCTCTCAGAAGTCTCCTCCACAGCCCGTGGGGATGGCATTGAAGGAGTCGCTCCCCTCGTGGATGCCGCCACGGGCAGCGGTTGAGGAACCTCCGCAGTGCCCTCACTGGGCGAACCACAGGGTATGTATCCGTCTTCAGAATCAGTCCCCGCCCCAGGTGAGGTGACGACGTTCTTTTTCTTCTTCTTAGGGGCGCTCCGACCTGCCAACGCGAATGTCAGGTAATAAGAACGTAGGGAATTCCCAAATCGTAGCCAAAGAATTACCTGACGGGCCGTACTGTTGAAGAAATGCAGCCCAGGTACGGCATTCCTCCGCATAAGGTATTATTCTTTCCACCCATGATTTAATGTCATCAATGAACTGGGGTGGAGAAGCCCTCGCTGCGAATAAAAAAAGGAGAAAAGCAAAGAAATCACAATGGCCGTATGGTCAAAAGCGCAAGCAGTCCTGAATTCTACGAGTAGAAATACTTACGTTCTGGATTCCATCTTTCTAGGAACCCTTCGGGATTCGAAACCAGGTGCTCCGTCCTGATGTAGACATATTTACGCCAAAAGCGGCGGTTGGGCTTATCATCGGCTTTAACAACCAAGCCCCTTGTGCCACGACCTTTTAACTGCAGCATGGTACCCCTCAGGTAACCAGGGCTGAATAACTGTAAGAGGTGGTGGACCGAGATGCTGTACTCAGCCCTGGCCGCATAAGTGGTCATAATACGGCACACCTTCAAGGTGTAAGTAGTGAGCTGGGCCGGACACACATTATAAAAACGGCAAAGCTCCTCCATCAGAGGGTAGATTGGAAGATTGTAACTGATCAAGAACGGGTACTCATAGAATGTGCAATATCCAGGCCGGTGCACATTGACATAGTCCGTCCCAGCCGGAACCATTTCCACGTGGTCCGGAATATGGTGCGTCTCTCGCAGATCATCTAAATGGGATTGTAATAAAACGCTGTGCTCCCAGGGAAAGTCTGGGCTTTTAGTTGGAAAATCCCTGCGGACATGCATCTCCTTCGGAAGGACGTTGTCTACGCTGAGAGGAACAAGGGCCTTCTCCGCCTTGTCCCCTTCACCACCGGAAGATGGCGGAACCCTAGACGGGGCATTATCTTTGGCCTTTTTACTACTCTGTCCACGTTTTGTCATGATTATACTGCGTAAGAAACGAAGCACTGACGATAGGAAGTATGGTTTCAACAGAAGTGGGAGAGTCCCTCACGAAATAACGGTTACAGGAAAGAAAGACAAAGGAGTATATCAGAAAATGCTTTCCGAAGGCTTGAAAGTTGAATCGAATCGAACCTCTCTCCTACTTATAGGGATAAGTTGCGTAGAAATCAAAGAGTCATGATTCAAAGCGTGCGCGGGAAACCAAAATGTCACATCATCCTCTGAATCGCCTCGGGGGCAAATATAATAATGATGCATACAGGCAATGACGTCATTCCAAAAAGGAAGCCACGCGTCAGTGGCTCAACAACGTCATATATTTCACCTCGTTCATATTGCCGCCCCGGGTCGAGGTCAAATTCTCCTAAGCCGAGGTTCACATTTCCACCCATCGAAGACGCCCACCGAATGCGTCTCCAACGAGCGGAGGGACTAACTGTATAGGGTCAAATTTGACCCTCAGCATCTCTACGCCAGTGGGTACGCCCAGTGAGTGTACGCCGACTAACGTAGCGGGTACGACTCGGCCGTGGGGACAAAAGCGACATCGTTTAGGACTCAGTGTCTTCACTAGGGAGACGTTACCTGTCTTTGTAACTTTTTGATTCTTTCGAGGAGGGTCTCTTATTATATAAAGGATACCCTCACATTGTAAAAGGGGATCGGATCTAATACAACTCTCTCGTTTTCTGGCTTTCTCTCTCTATCTCTACTTCAAACGAACATATCTTATTGAGTTCATATTATCACTTTGCAATACTAGATCTACATCAATATTATCATCTTTGCATCTCTAGGATTATTATATTTGATTACGATTTACCCATTTTCCTACTTTTGATTGTTTTTAGCTTACAAAGTATATCATTAACTTTTGAGCCAAACAGTGTGTAAAAAGGATTTCTCGTGCAAGTTTAGGGTAAATTAAAGTATATATAAATTAATCCTATTTAAATGAACAACCAATCAGTGGCTGTGTATCTAACAAATTTCCACATATGTTTAGTAGTACAACATTTCTTGGTTCCTGTATGCATAATTCAGATGCTTGTTTAATTTATGCAGGAAAGAGGCTCAATACTCTGAACCTTCTGGTTCTGCAAATGAAAGAGGAAAGCCATTCACAAATCCAGGTTCTCAATCATATATAAGTTGTTTTAGACATGTCACACTTTCTTGTGTGACTAGTTAAGTTGTTTAACTTATTTAATTACGGTTGAACCATTGAAAGAAGAAATGGTTTTTAAGATAGTAGATTTTTTCTTTGTCCTTCAGTACTTGATGTGGATTTTTGTACTTTATGTGATGCTATAAAACTGAACAGAAGTATGCTTTGATCTGCATTGCATATCAAATTATTCACAGATAAAGGCAAAGTGACTAAGCCAGTTGGTGTAAATTTGCACAATAGTTTCTTGATTTTTTTCGTTTCTTTTCTTACTGTTGACTGAAATCTAGATGCATACAGTAATACAACCACGGGTTGTTCTTTTCTCCTTTGATCAAAATCGCAAATATTTTATAGACCTTCCTTTAAATCAGTGAATTCCAGCGTGACACAAAATTCAATACTTGTAGTCAAAGTGAAAGATTCCAATCAATGGAGATCGTGAAAAGCATAGTATATGGAGGTTTAATAGAGTCAATTACAAGCTTAGTTGTGCTTTTCTCCGCAGCCGCTTCCGACGCTGATACACGTAAGTCTTTGAGTTCTCAATCTCTGCTCTTTTGCTTGGTTAGTATTTGACAGAATATGATATGGCTTATAGAGTTTTGTTGATACTGCAGTGAAGATCCTAGTTATTGGAGTGGCAAATTTGATCGGTGGACTTTTTGTCATTTGTCAGAATGTGAGTATTCTATAATTCCAGTTCAACTCTATAGTTGGTAACTGTCTTTTGCCATCATTTCTCCTTCTGCATCAGTTCTTGCATCTTAATCCTTTTCTTGAATCACATGTAAGCTTGCAGTTGGTGGACTTGAAAATTAGTTATACCGGAGTAGGTTCCAATTTAAGTGATCAAATCGATCGATACCAAGAGCTACTTGGCCGAAAAGAGCATTTCCTACTTCATGCAATTGTTGCCCTGCTATCATATTTTATATTTTGCCTTGTTCCACCAGTAGTATATGGCTTCACATATCTTAAGAGTGATAACAAAGACTGCAAGCTTCTAGCAGTTGCAATCGCTTCTTCTATGTGCATTATCCTGCTTGCTACTGCAAAGGCTTATACTCGAGGAGCAAACAAGTTCAGTAAATACGTCAAGACTGTCCTATTCTATGGTATAGCTGCAAGTATGGCCTCAGGTGTTGGTTATGTAGCAGGCCATTTCATTAAGAGGCTCGTGGATAAATTAGGTTGGTTTGACAAAATCCAACCTGGTCATTCTGTTGACATCTTTTGCAGTGATACCTACCTATTGTAAAATCTTCTTATGTTCGCACCCATGTTTTGTAAGTTTTGAGAACTTTAAGAATGAGTGTGTTTTCTTGTAAATTTCAACTGAGAAATGAGCTTTTTCTGCACCAAAACTCTTTAGCCCTTGCAGTGTGATGTTACGATGATGATTGTAGCCCTGTTTCTGTGAATCATACATATATTGGCCTAAAGAAACCTCAACTTTTCTTGCTTTTATAAGCGAGGATGAGTCGTTCTTATTGACATTTACGCAGTTTTGCTGTCTGTAAATCATGTAGGCCTCACCTCAATGAGAGCTTAGAATGCGCAACCACTTGTCTGCATTTGCAGTAGTTTTATTCTTAAATTATAGTCCTTTATTTCTTTGTTGGCGGGGTGGCTAGTCGGAACGATAGTAGAGTAGGGTCATGTCCTTGGGTGGGCCAAGGGGAGGGGGGAAGGGTGGCAAGGGGGGGGGGGTAAGGGAGCTAGTAGGCTGAGAGTGGGGTCGTGGAACATAGGGTTACTGACGGGTAAGTCTATAGAGTTAGGATGGATTCTACATAAGAGGGAGATTAATATAGCATGTGTTCAGGAGACTAGATGGATGGGTATGAGGGCTCGGGATGTTAACAGGTTTAACCTATGGTATTCAGGAGGAGGAACAGACAAGAACAGAGTAGGTATTTTAGACTTTTAGTTGATAGGGATCTGAGGAAGATGGCGGTGGATGTTAGGAGGGTAAATGATGGGCTAATGACTATTAAGCTAGTGGTTGGCGGGGTCACTTTTAACGTGATTAGCGCTTACGCGCCTCAGATGGGCCTGAGCGAGGAGGTCAAAAGGTGCTTCTGGAATGATTTGGATGAGGTTGTGCGTGGTATTCCACTCTCCGAGAAGCTCGTCATAGAGAGTGATTTTAATGGCCATATTTGGGTGACTGCTAGGGGTTATGACGAGGTGCATGGCAGGTTCGGTTTCGGAGTTAGGAATGAGGGTGGTACGTCATTGTTGGACTTTGCTAAAGCTTTTGACCTGGTGTTAGCTAATTCGTGTTTCCGGAAGAGGGAGGAGCACTTGGTCACTTTCCGGAGTAAGGTTTCCAGGACTCAGATTGAGTATCTTCTCCTTAGGAGGGGTGATCGGGGCCTTTGCATTGATTGCAAGGTTATCCCGAGTGAGTGTTTATCGATGCAGCATAGGCTCCTAGTAATGGACTTGGAGGTCAAGAGAGTAATGAAGAAGAGAGCGATGTACGGCCAGTCGAAGACTAAGTGGGGAGCCTTGACTAAGGCAAAGGCGCAGGAGTTGGGTGGGAAGCTGTTGGCCATGGGGGCCTGCAGGAGTAGTGGAGACGCGAGTAGTATGTGGACCACGACAACGAACTGCATTAGGGAAGCTGCTAGAGAGGTGTTAGGGGTATCGAAGGGTTATTTGGGAATGTTCGCCCAAATGAAATTTGTTTTGATGATTAACAAAGGAACTCAAGCATGAACCAGGTTCATCCATAGTGTACACAGTCACGGGCAGATTCAAACATAAAGGATGCACGTGAGGGAGACAAGCTTAACTTGCTATATCTGATATCTCCCGATTGAAAAGGTTGCATAATTGATAAGGAGAAAGACTCTTATGAGTACAGCAAAATCCAAGGTTGCATAAAGAAATGGCTTGTTTGTGGACTCGATCCACATGAGTACAGCAAAATCCAAGGTTGTACCACTACTAAGCAAATATGGGACAGACTGCAAGTGGCTCATGAAGGAACACCTCAGGTGAAGAGATCCAAAGGAACTCTATTGTACTCTCAATATGAGAGTTTTGCTATGAAGGAAGGAGAAACCATTCAGGAGATCTACATAAGGTTCACTACACTGACAAATGAGCTGAAATCTCTTGGAAGGATTATTCCTAAAGAAGAAAGGGTTGAAAAGATATTGACAAGAGTTTTGCCTACACTTGGGAGAGTAAAATCACTGCTATCCAGGAATCAAAGAATATTGCAACTCTCCCACTGGATGAACTAATTGGAAATCTTACTGCCTATGAAGTTAGGAGACAAACCATGAAGATGGATGTACCTAAGAAGGAAAGGAGTTTGGCTCTCAGAATTACTGAAGATTATGATGTGGAAGATGATGAAATGGCCATGATCACCAAAGACTTCAAGAAGTACCTAAGGAGAGGAAAGGGTTCTTCAAGAAGTGGAAGCTTCAACAAATCAAAACCTCCTGAGAAACAAACCAATGATGGCTGCTACAAGTGTGGAAAGACTGATCACCATATCAAGAACTGTCCTCTGTGGGAGATTGAGTGGAAGAAGAAAAGAGCTGAACGAATGAACAAGAAGAAGGAACAGGTTCAACCCAAGAAAACCAACAACAAAGGATCAACAAAGGCTATAGTGGTTGCTTGGGGAGATAGCTCAGATGATAAATAGGTGCATGACTAGACCTCTTATTGAGAAGACTCCCTATGAGTTACTTAAAAGGAGAAAGCCAAATATATCTCATCTTAAAGCATTTGGATGCAAGTGCTTTGTGCACAATAATGGTACTCCCTAGTAAGTTTGATCCTAGAAGTGATGAGGGAGTATTCTTAGGATATTCTTCACATAGTAAAGCTTATAAGAACTATAACAAAAGAACTATGTGTGTAGAAGAAAGTGCACTTGTGGTTTTTGATGAAACTAACATTCTTTCTGAGAGGCAGGAACATGAAGATGAAGCAACTGGGCTGGTAAGAACTCAAATGAAACCACAGCCTAGACTGAAGCTATAACAAAGGAAGGAACATGTGATGGAACAAGTTCTTCTACCCAGGGCAACCTGACAGGGGGAACTGAACAAAGAAGAATTGATCCTCAAAACCTTGAGGGAACCTGTCCATGAACCTGTTCCTCGGAAACAAAACACCGAAGGAATATCTAGGGGAAACCAGCTGGTTGTGAAACCTTACAAGTACCAAAGTTCTCATCCCATTGAGAACATAACTACTGATCCAACCTCTGGAATCAAAACCAGATCTTCTTTGAAGAATCTCTGTGCTTTTGATGCTTTCTATCTCTTAATGAACCTAAAAATATTGATGAGACTTTGCAGGATGCAGACTGGGTGAATGCAATGCAAGATGAAATCAACCAATTTGAGAGAAGCCAAGTTTGGCATCTAGTACCAAGACCCAAGGACAGATCAGTAATTAGACCAAAATGGGTCTTCAGAAATAAACTTGATGAAGATGGAACGATTACAAGGAACAAGGCAAGATTGGTGGTTCAACGATATAGTCAAGAGGATGGCATAGACTATGATGAGACCTTTGCTTCAGTTGCAAGATTGAAAGCAATTAGACTCCTTATAATTTTTGCTGCTTACATGGAATTCACTCTCCATCAGATGGATGTCAAGAGTGCATTCCTCAATGGCTATCCAAAGGAAGAAGTGTTTGTCAAGCAACCTCCGGGCTTTGAAAGCAAGGAATCTCCTGATCATGTGTACAAGCTTGACAAGGCACTTTATGGGCTCAAACAGGCTCCAAGAGCATGGTATGAAAGATTATCAAAATTCTTGCTTCAGCATGGCTACAAGAGATGTAAAATTGACAATACTTTATTCGTGAAAGAAAAAGGTAAAGATCTCTTGGTAGTTTAGATATATGTTGATGATATAATATTTGGAGCAACTATTGATAAGTTAAGTAAAGAGTTTGCTAAACTAATGGGGGTGAATTTGAAATGAGTATGATGGGTGAGCTTAATTTCTTTTTAGGCTTACAAATTAAATAAAATTTAAATGTAACTATGATCCATCAGCATAAGTATGTAAAAGAGTTGCTTAAAAGGTTTAAAATGGAAGATTCCAAAGAAATTGATACTCCTATAGCAACAACTACAAAATTGGATATAGATGAACCTGGTTCATCTGTTGATCAGAAGTTGTATAGGGGAATGATTGGTTCTTTGTCATATCTCACTGCCAGCAAACCTGACATTATTTTCAGTGTAGGCCTTTGTATTAGGTTTCAGGCAAATCCAAAGGAGTATCACTTGACTGCTATCAAGAAAATCTTGAGATACCTAAAAGGCACCACTGACCTTTGTCTATGGTATCAAAAAGGTAGTAATTTCAACTTAGTGGGATATGTTGATATTGATTATGCAGGTTTTTTTGTGAATAGAAAGAGCACCTCAGGTATGGCACACTTTCATGGCTCATGTCTTGTGCCTTGAGCCACCAAAAAGCAAAATTTTGTGGCCTTATCTTTTGCTGAAGCTGAGTATGTCGTTGGTGCCTCATGTTGTGCTCAATTGTTGTGGATCAAACAGCAATTAATGGATTTTGGAATTGATGTAGGTTGTATCCCTATATTTTGTGATATTGCTAATGCAATTAGTATGACCAAGAACCTGGTTCATCACAAAAGAACTAAGCATATAGATGTTAGCCATTATTTCTTGAGGGACAATTATGAGAAGGGTTTGATCACTGTGGAATTTTGTGCTAAAGACAAGCAAATAGCTGACATCTTCACAAAAGCTCTAAGTAGAGATCACTTTGAAAGGAACATGTTAGAATTAGGGATGATTAAGATTACCTAAAAGGAACCAGTTCTAACTCAAAAATGGTTAGAAAATTGTGAATTTTTGTACATAATTAGATTGGATTTTGCTCAGTCTCATACTTTCATCAGTATACTCTAGTGCCATGTGCTAAAAGGACTCATTAATCTCTAATGATATTATCTCTATTTTCTTGGAAAATTCAGACTTACACAAGAGATTTCTCATTGAAGAACCTGGTTCATCAAGATTACTTGGTACGTATTCTCTACTCTGCATATTTTGGAATAATTATATTTGGATCATGATAAAGAGGAGAGTCCTATTTAATCCCAAACCCTTTTGAACTTATCTGTTATGAAATGAACCAGTTTCGTTCAAAAAGAGTCCAAAACCGCATTAAGTGCCTAGATTCTAGGGACACTCTTCAACGTCTTTTCAAACTGAATTTCAGTTTGATTAGACTTCTGAAAAAGGGTGTCGTTACCTAATTAAGCACCCCTTCTTATATTGATTAAGCCTTAGTGTTTCTTCACTACTAATTCTCAAGCCGTCAAAAATCTCTCCATCTTCTCTCATCTTTCAAACACACTCAAACTCATCTTTTCTCATACCCAAGCACAGAAATGGCTAACCC